ATGGACTGAGTTATCTTGAGGGATATCATTGATGCTTTCTGACTACAGGGAGGAATTGTTGAGGATGGCTCCTGAGCGGATGATGTATCCACGATGTGGTCAAAGATCTCACCAAAGCGACGTCTATATGTCGGGTGATGATCCTTCGGGAGAAGGAGACTGTCATTGGGAAGCCGTTGAACACACGAGACACGTTAAGGAGAGAAATGCCGGGGTCTACTCGTATGATACCGATGTAACTGGCCACGCTTGCTACATTAAAGCATCATAGTCATCACCTGAGCCTCTCCACCATGTTGGGTACTTCAACACATAGCTCGTGGTCAGCAGCTATCCGAGGATGCACTATTAGGGTGTAGTGGGACCCCTCGTATGTTACAGGGGCCTTCACTTGCTCTAATATAGAACTGCATGGCTCAGCAGTCTGGCTCTGCCATAGCCCTAGGAAGAATCTGCCGAATCGTATTGATGTTGTGGATGCTTGAAAACGAATAGTAGACCAGCTTCCAGCAGAAATTATATCCTCTGTTAGGAGAATGAAGCTCAGTGGCTTCGCTGGGATTATCGTCTCAGTTGATGGGACATCGGTCGGGGCGGCAACGGTATCTCCAGACACTTCCATAGTGCCCACGAAGGCCCACAGAGAGGGATCCTGTGAATAGTGGAGGCATAGGGCAAAGTTGCCGTGCGTAGACGGTGTAATAGTGAAGGACACCGAGTTTGGTGTAGACCTAGTTGACAGTTGTGGGCAGAGGCTAGGGTCGAGATTTCCCTGAGGAAAAAGTGACCTCTCCTTTACTGAGATCGAGACCGGCCGTCGCGTTACCACGAGTATGAGCAACACGTAGTTCAGCGACAAGGGCGGGTACATCAGGAAGGGCGGCGTTGAGGGCCAAGGTCTTGGGGATAATCATCAATGCCTAATGAGGACAGGTTCTAATACCATGATCACTCGTGTGAGAAATCATCACCTCAGCGAAAGCTAGAATGGCCACCTGTTCCCTTCCACGATGGGAGGTAGCGAACTCCTCAAGATGGAGTGATAGAGCAGCCTCAACGCACCCACCACCTCCGACAACCTGAAGAGATACCATTAGTACGGGTATTCATAGAGGCTACCTACACTCCCGGACTCCAACGCTCGGGATGTGGCACAGAGAGCATCATGAACGCTTCGCTCCGCCTCATCCAAGACAAAATCGGAGGCTCCTCTGAGGAGGAGGGTTGAACTCTTGCCCTGATACTGACTGTCGCCGTTATTGGTTATGAAGACAAAGTCGTTGTCTCCAACACGTTCCTCATGGACCTGATCGTAGCTTGCTATCATCGAGTACTGCGCACCAGAGTCGTATTACGAGATCAGCCTTGCCAATAGCAGAATCATCAATACCTTCCTCATCCCATTGCTCAGTAGCTGTGAGTGTAAGGAGGGGCTTAGCTCCAGTGGCCTGAGATAACGATTGATCGAAAGCTCCCACTGGAGTATAGTGTACCTTGGCAATCCTCTTCATTCCTTCTTAGGGACTCTT